AGGTAAGTGTCATGTAATTGTACATGTCTTCTTCAGTTTGTGTGTATTAAAATTAATATTTCATGTGGTAAAAAAAAAAATTTTCAATACTTTTGGGTGTCTTGCACGGATTAATTTGATTTCCATTATTTCTTATGGGGAAAATTAACTCGACTAACGATAATTTCGATTAACGATGAGCTCTCAGGAACGGATTAATATCGTTGGTCGAGGGTCCACTGTACAAAGAAAGGGGAGCACTGCAAGGGAGCTAGGTGCCCACAGAGGGAAAGCAAGTGCACAGAGGTGGGGGGAAGGAGAAGTGATGAAATAAATAATGAAGGAACAGAAACACGCAACAGAAGAAAGAAAGGCAAAAAAAGGAAAGAGGAAAGGGGAAGAGGGAGAAGAAGAAAAAATGAGGAATCAGGTTAAGTCACGGGTGTTCAGAAGTTTGGAACATTTTACAATGTAGTGGGAGAGGAAGGCATCTACAGAGACGAAGCCAGGACTAAGATTCATACAAGGAAAGTTGTATATTAGAGAGGATTCAACTAGACGGTTAAGTCAGAACACCTGTGACTTAACCTGATTCCTCATTTTTTCTTCTCCTCCCTCTTCCCCTTTCCTCTTTCCTTTTTTTGTCTTTCTTCTGTCGCGTGTTTCTGTTCCTTCATTATTTATTTCATCACTTCCCCTTCCCCCCACCTCTGTGCACTTGCTCTCCCTATGTGGGCACCTAGCTCCCTTGCAGTGCTCCCCTTTCTTTGTATTTGACTGGCTCCTCCTCCTCCTTAATTCCCCACTACTACCACTACCACTACTACCACCACCACTACTACCACCACCACTACTACTACTACTACCACCACTACTACTACTACTACTACTACCACCACCACTACCTCTTCCTGCCTATATATAGCCGTCCTGCTACACTTCTGGTTAGTGTGACTTTGTAAATGGTCCAAGTCGGACCGAAACGTCGTCGTAAGCTCCTCTCTTCTATGTGCGGGTTATTTGTGTATAAGTAATACATATTTTATTAAAAAGAGGATAATTAATTATACAAGGTATGATATAGCACGTAATGAAAGCAGCTTGTTAGATTATGTAATGGTGGATAAAAGGTTGATCGGTAAGCTCCAGGATGTACATGTTTATAGAGGGGCAACTGATACATCGGATCATTATTTAGTTGTGGCTACAGTTAGAGTAAGAGGTAGATGGGACAAGAGGAAAATGGCAACAACAAGTAAGAGAGAGGTGAAAGTGCATAAACTATGGGAGGAGGAAGTTCGGCAGAGATATAAGCAACTATTGGCAGAAAGGAGGGCTAGTGCAAGTATGAGTAGTGGGGGGGGGGGGGAATTGAAGAGGATTGTAATAGTTTTAAAAATGCAGTATTAGAATGTGGGGCAGAAGTTTGTGGTTATAGGAGGGTGGGTGCAGGAGGAAAGAGGAGTGACTGATGGAATGATCAAATACAGGGTGTGATAAAAGAGAAAAAGATAGCTTATGAGAGGTTTTTACAAAGCAGAAGAGTTATAAAAAGAGCAGAGTATATGGAGAGTAAAAGAAAGGTGAAGAGAGTGGTGAGCGAGTGCAAAAGAAGAACAGATGATAGAGTGGGAGAGGCACTGTCAAGAAATTTTAATGAAAATAAGAAAAAAATTGGGAGTGAGTTAAACAAGTTAAGAAAGCCAAAGGAACAAATGGATTTGTCAGTTAAAAACAGAGTAGGGGAGTTAGTAGATGGGGAGATGGAGGTATTGGGTAGATGGCGGGAATATTCTGAGAAGCTTTTAAATGTCGATGAAGAAAGGGAGGCGGTAATTTCATGCATTGGCCAGGGAGGTATACCATCTTTTAGGAGTGAAGAAGAGCAGGATGTGAGTGTGTGGGAGGTGCATGAGGCATTACACAGAATGAAAGGGGGTAAAGCAGTTGGAACTGATGGGATCATGACAGAAATGTTAAAAGCAGTGGGAGATATAGTGTTAGTGTGGTTGGCATTTTTTTGTATGAAAGAGGGGAAGGTACCTAGGGATTGGCAGAGAGCATGTATAGTTCCCTTAAATAAAGGGAAGGGGGACAAAAGAGATTGTAAAAATTATAGAGGAATTAGTTTACTGAGTATACCAGGAAAAGTGTACAGTAGTGTTATTATTGAAGGAATTAGAGGTAAGACAGACTGTAGGATTGCGGATGAGCAAGGAGGTTTCAGAGTGGGTAGCGGATGTGTAGATCAAGTGTTTACATTGAAGCATATATGTGAACAGTATTTAGATAAAGGTAGGGAAGTTTTCATTGCATTTATGGATTTAGAAAAGGCATATGATAGAGTGGATAGGGGAGCAATGTGGCAGATGTTGCAAGTATCTGGAATAGGTAGTAAGTCACTAAATGCTGTAAAGAGTTTTTATGAGGATAGTGAGGCTCAGGTTAGGGTGTGTAGAAGAGAGGGAGAGTATTTCCCAGTAAAAGTAGGTCTTAGAAAGGGGTGTGTAATGTCACCATGGTTGTTTAATATATTTATAGATGGGGTTGTAAAAGAAGTAAATGCTAGGGTGTTCGGGAGAGGGGTGGGATTAAATTATGGGGAATCAAATACAAAATGGGAATTGACACAGTTACTTTTTGCTGATGATACTGTGCTTATAGGAGATTCTAAAGAAAAATTGCAAAGATTAGTGGACAAGTTTGGGAGAGTGTGTAAAGGTAGAAAGTTGAAAATGAACATAGAAAAAAGTAAGGTGATGAAGGTATCAAATGATTTAGATAAAGAAAAATTGGATATCAAATTGGAGAGGAGGCATATGGAAGAAGTGAATGTTTTCAGATATTTAGGAATTGACATGTCAGCGGATGGATTTATGAAGGATGAGGTTAATCATAGAATTGATGAAGGAAAAAAGGTGAGTGGTGCATTGAGGTATATGTTTTGACAAAAAACGTTATCTATGGAGGCAAAGAAGGGAATGTATGAAAGTATAGTGGTACCAACACTCTTATATGGGTGTGAAGCTTGGGTTGTAAATGCTGCAGTGAGGAGACATTTGGAGGCAGTGTGTGGTGCAAACATTATGCAGAAAATTCGGAGTGTGGAAATTAGAAGGCAGAGAGTTAATAAAAGTATTAGTCAGAGGGCTGAAGAGGGGTTGTTGAGGTGGTTTGGTCATTCAGAGAGAATGGATCTAAGTAGAATGACATGGAGAGCATATAAATCTGTAGGGAAAGGAAGGCGGGATAGGGGTCGTCCTTGAAAAGGTTGGAGGGAGGGGTAAAAGAGGTTTTGTGGGCAAGGGGCTTGGACTTCCAGCAAGCGTGCATGAGAGTGTTAGATAGGAGTGAATGGAGACAAATGGTATTTGGGACCTGACGAGCTGTTGGAGTGTGAGCAGGGCAATATTTAGTGAAGGGATTCAGGGAAACCGGTTATTTTTATATAGCTGGACTCGAGTCCTGGAAATGGGAGGTACAATGTCCGCACTTTAACCCGTAAACGGTCCAAACGTATATATACGTTCTTACCGCTAGTGCCCCAAACGCAAATATACGTTTTATTTTTCCTGCCTCCAAATTAGGCACGACTGGCCTGAGATGCCTGGTCAGCATATAATGGGTCTTAACACTCAGTGTGCACCATATTAAAAAAATCTGGGACCACTTAGTACCTTGTGGGAGTGCCAGTTATATTGAGCACCAGCTGGAGCAAACAGTGGGGCAAACACCAAGGATTCACTGATGTAATGTCATATTAACACTCCCCTTTTAAGAGGAAAGTGATGTTAACCCCAGGTTTAGGGTCTGTCTGTCTGTCTGTCTCTGTTTCTGTCTATCACTGTCTCTGTCTCTGTCTATCTGTCTCTGTCTATCTTTCTCTGTCTCACAGGTACACACAAATACAATTATGCATAGTGTAAATTACCTAGGATAACCTAAAAAATCTGAAGTGCTATACTGTGCTTGTAGATATAATGCACAAAAATACCTGTTGGTTCACAGTGGCTCTCTCTGAGACAGACAGAGAGAGACAAGCAGACAGAGAAATAAGACAGAGACAGATAATCAAAGATACGAGCTCATCAAATGTCATCCCTTATCTCTGCACCCTCGCTGGTGCCCATCAAATGTCATAGCTTATCTCCTCTTATCTCTGCACTATCTCATCTTATCTCTGCACCCTCACCCTCCCGGATGCTTGTCACTGAACACTTGTCTTACACATTGCTTCAAGGGAATTTCTTCCCTCTTCTTTCTCCTTCTCTTTCTTCCTTCTTCTTCTTCTATACTCCTGTGTATCCAAAACATTGCTGGGACCTATAAATACTTTGTATATATTCCTAGATAATAGTAAATGACCAAGGCAGGTGTAAATGTCCACCTGTCAATGTGTGACAATTTGAATACAATTTCAGTACTTAATATTAGTGTCAGAACAAAGATTGGTTATGAAATGACAAGAACTACAATAAATTGTTATTATCAGAACATAAAAATTATATAAATATAAAAATGAGAAAAAATGGTATATCGGCAACACTTCTGCAAGCGGCAGGACTCTATGTTGCCGTCAAGCGAGCATTAAGCACCAACTTTGCAGCCTCATATCTCAATAAGTACTGACCCTATTTTTTTTATTTTAATCCTATAACACTTAGAAAAATGTGCTCTTTATTTTCATTAAAAAATAATTTTTTTATTTTTCAAAATACTCAGGGCACTGGGGTAGTGAACGTACACATACTTTTGGACCGTTTACGGGTTAAAGGAGGGGTTTGGGGTATTGGCAGTTTGGAGGGATATGTTGTGTACCTTTATATGTATATGCTTCTAAACTATTGTATTCTGAGCAACTCTGCAAAAACAGTGATTACGTGTGAGTGAGGTGAAAGTGTTGAATGATGATGAAAGTACGTATTTTCTTTTTTGGGGATTTTCGTTCTTTTTGGGTCACCCTGCTTCGGTGGGAGATGGCCGACTTGTTTAAAAAAAAAAATCCTAAAAACATAACATACCTGGAGTTACAGAGCGACTGTGACTGGGGCTTCTTGTTACACTACTGTCTCTCGATAGTACGTGTAATCCAACTCTGGAGCCCCAAGATGTGCTGCCACCAATGGTCCCATTCCAGTCCCCCTGAAGGCCACAACTCCCATAAAAGTCAGTTATTGAATCTGCTTCACTCATGGAACTCACATCGTGCTCACTGGCTTCAGGCACTGACCATCGTCTATTTGCAATTAAGCTAAATGGCCCCAAACTAGAGTTTCTTTCCCATCCTTCTGTACTAGGCCCTCCCATGGACCATCTTCGAGATATGGCATCACTGTGCCAGCCAGATCCAGCCCCATTTAAATGCGAAAACAGTCCATAACATGAACCAGGAGACAGAGTATTGCCACTGCTCATACTAAGGCTAAGACTAGAACCATAATTAGAATTAGAACCATAATTTGTGGCATTTGGACATCCAACACTGCTTGGATTGGACCAGCCAGGAGCAGTAGCTGAGTGCCTGGTGTGGCCACCAGAGGGGTGACGACTTTGTGGTTTATCTTCCTTCCCAGGGCTCTCTAGCAGAGGTACTGCTGGTACACCTTGTACTCCCTTCATACTAGCTTGTTGTTGTTGTTGACCTGAAATCCAAGTTGGCTGAACTGGAAGCTGTGGAACATACTGACTAGATACAGAAAGCTGAGAAATATCAGCAACATGACTTGGTACTGATGGATAACAAGGTTTGTTCGTCTGAAACCCAACTGAATTCTGGGAGAAAGTACACTGATTTTCATCTCGGAGAACCTGAAGTATGCCAGTGAAACGCTCAATAACCACAGCTGAGAACTGGTACTGGAGTCCCAGGAATGCAGACAACATGGCTTGAGTTACCTGCAGGGTAAATACAATACAGTATTACAACAAGATCTAGTTTATTTGTTATTCACAAAGGGTGTTCCCATCTCCATGAGAGAATAGAGCATACCATATATATATATGTAAATGTCTATTATCAAGCTGTTATTCCACTCCAATAATTATGTTCTTAGATTTCTTCATTAAAATGTGAACCTCAAGCTTTGATGTTTTGCTCATGATGAAACATTTTCAGATACATACACAGTTTTCAGCCATGTTAAAATGTTAAATTTTCTAGAAAAAGAATTCAAAACATTTATTAGTACATATGAATATATCCTCTGGTTTATATAAATTAGATTCACTTATAATTAATAGAACTACTGTACAACTATGATAAATTTCTTTAGTTAAGTAGTCAGTAAGCCATTAAATTAAGTCAGCTCATAATGCCTAGGCATAATAGAGGTTCTCTTTGCACTGCAACACATTATCATAAATACATAATCTCAATGTACTACTTGCAAAGAAATAAAATATGAATTTGAATAATAATAAAAAAATATTATCATTATTATTATATCATTATTACATTTTTTTTTATTATTATTATTAACACACTGGCCGATTCCCACCAAGGCAGGGTGGCCCGAAAAAGAAAAACTTTCACCATCATTCACTCCATCACTGTCTTGCCAGAAGGGTGCTTTACACTACAGTTTTTAAACTGCAACATTAACACTCCTCCTTCAGAGTGCAGGCACTGTACAGTGGACCCCCGCATACCGTACGCATCACATAACGTTCAATCCGCATACCGCTCGCTTTTATTGCAAAAATTTTGCCTCGCATACCGCTCAAAAACCCGCTCACCGCTCTTCGTCCGAGATGCATCCAATGTGCGCCCTTAGCCAGCCTCACATGTGCCGCCGGTGGCATTGTTTACCAGCCAGCCTCCGCGGTAACATCCAAGCACACAATCGGAACATTTCGTATTATTACGGTGTTTTTGGTGATTTTATCTGCAAAATAAGTGACCATGGGCCCCAAGAAAGCTTCTAGTGCCAACCCTACAGCAATAAGGGTGAGAATTACTATAGAGATGAAGAAAAAGATCATTGATAAGTATGAAAGTGGAGTGTGTGTCTCCGAGCTGGCCAGGTTGTATAATAAACCCCAATCAACCATCGCTACTATTGGTGGTACAGCTGCTGCTGCTGCTGTACCACCGTCAGCTGCTGCTGCTGCTGTACCACCGTCAGCTGCTGCTGTAGTACCGTCTGCTGCTGCTGTAGCATCGTCTGCTGCTGCTGTAGCACTGTCAGCTGCTGCTGTAGTACTGTCTGCTGCTGCTGTACCACCGTCAGCTGCTGCTGCTGCTGCTGCACTGTCAGCTGCTGCTGCTGCTGTACCACCGTCAACTGCTGCTGTAGTACCGTCTGCTGCTGCTGTAGCATCGTCTGCTGCTGCTGTAGCACTGTCAGCTGCTGCTGCTGCTGTAGCACTGTCAGCTGCTGCTGCTGCTGCTGCTGCTGCTGCTGCTGCTGCTGCTGCTGCTGCTGCTGCTGCTGCTGTAGCACCGTTGTTGGTGTGGCTTATTGAGAATACCAAGAAACAATTAACCCCAGAGGATTTGCCACCCAGGATAACCCAAAAAAGTCAGTGTCATCGAAGACTGTCTAACTTATTTCCATTGGGATCCTTAATCTTGTCTCCCAGGATGCAACCCACACCAGTCGACTAACACCCAGGTGAACAGGGAAAAATGCCTGGAACTAGTGCTCATATTGGCGAATTTAAAGCCAGCAAAGGTTGGTTTGAGAGATTTAAGAATCGTAGTGGCATACACAGTGTGATAAGGCCTGTTCTGGAAGAAAATGCCAAACAGGACCTACAGTATCAGGAGGAAAAGCACTCCCAGGACACAGTGTCTCATCAGTCATTGCTGCATCTTCAATAAAGGTAAGTGTCATTTATTCTTCATTTAGTAGAGTAGTACATGCACAATATATATTGTGCATGTACTACTCTACTATTGTGCATGTATCCTTCTCTTTGTGTGTAGGAAAATGTATATTTCATGTGGTAAAAAAAAAATTTTCATACTTTTGGGTGTCTTGCACGGATTAATTTGATTTCCATTATTTCTTATGGGGAAAATTCATTCGCATACCGATCATTTCGCATAACAATGAGCCCTCTTGCACGGATTAAAGTCGATATGCGGGGGTCCACTGTACTTCCCATCTCCAGGACTCAAGTCCAACCTGCCAGTTTCCCTGAATCCCTTCATAAATGTTACTTTGCTCACACTCCAACAGCACGTCAAGTATTAAAAACCATTTGTCTCCATTCACTCCTATCAAACACGCTCACGCATGCCCGCTGGAAGTCCAAGCCCCTCGCACACAAAACCTCCTTTACCCCCTCCCTCCAACCTTTCCTAGGCCGACCCCTACCCCGCCTTCCTTCCACTACAGACTGATACACTCTTGAAATCATTCTGTTTCCCTCCATTCTCTCTAAATGTCCAAACCACCTCAACAACCCTTCCTCAGCCCTCTGGACAACAGTTTTGGCAATCCCGCACCTCCTCCTAACTTCCAAACTACGAATTCTCTGCATTATATTCACGCCACACATTGCCCTCAGACATGACATCTCCACTGCCTCCAGCCTTCTCCTCACTGCAACATTCATCACCCATGCTTCACACCCATATAACAGCGTTGGTAAAACTATACTCTCATACATTCCCCTCTTTGCCTCCAAGGACAAAGTTCTTTGTCTCCACAGTCTCCTAAGTGCACTGCTCACCCTTTTACCCTCATCAATTCTATGATTCACTTCATCTTTCATAGACCCATCCACTGACACGTCCACTCCCAGATATCTGAATACATTCACCTCCTCCATACTCTCTCCCTCCAATCTGATATCCAATCTTTCATCACCTAATCTTTTTATCCTCATAACCTTACTCTTTCCTGTATTCACTTTTAATTTTCTTCTTTTACATACCCTACCAAATTCATCCACCAACCTCTGCAACTTCTCTTCAGAATCTCCCAAGAGCACAGTGTCATCAGCAAAGAGCAACTGTGACAACTCCCACTTCATGTGTGATTCTTTATCTTTTAACTCCACACCTCTTGCCAAGGCCCTCGCATTTACTTCTCTTACAACCCCATCTATAAATATATTAAACAACCACGGTGACATCACACATCCTTGTCTAAGGCCTACTTTTACTGGGAAATAATCTCCCTCTTTCCTACGTTAACTTGAGCCTCACTATCCTCGTAAAAACTCTTCACCGCTTTCAGTAACCTACCTCCTACACCATACACCTGCAACATCTGCCACATTGCCCCCCCTATCCACCCTGTCATACTCCTTTTCCAAATCCATAAATGCCACAAATACCTCTTTAGCCTTATCTAAATACTGTTCACTTACATGTTTCACTGTAAACACCTGGTCCACACACCCCCTACCTTTCCTAAAGCCTCCTTGTTCATCTGCTATCTTATTCTCCGTCTTACTCTTAATTCTTTCAATAATAACTCTACCATACACTTTACCAGGTATACTCAACAGACTTATCCCCCTATAATTTTCCACTCTCTTTTGTCCCCTTTGCCTTTATACAAAGGAACTATGCATGCTCTCTGCCAATCCTTAGGTACCTTACCCTCTTCCATACATTTTTTTAAATAATAGCACCAACCACTCCAAAACTATATCCCCACCTGCTTTTAACATTTCTATCTTTATCCCATCAATCCTAGCTGCCTTACCCCCTTTCATTTTACCTACTGCCTCACAAACTTCCCCCACACTCACAACTGGGTCTTCCTCGCTCGTACAAGATGTTATTCCTCCTTGCCCTATACACGAAATCACAGTTTCCCTATCTTCATCAACATTTAACAATTCCTCAAAATATTCCCTCCATCTTCCCAATACCTCTAACTCTCCATTTACCAACTCTCCTCTCCTATTTTTAACTGACAAATCCATTTGTTCTCTAGGCTTCCTAAACTTGTTAATCTCACTCCAAAACTTTTTCTTATTTTCAACAAAATTTATTGATAACATCTCACCCACTCTCTCATTTGCTCTCTTTTTACATTGTTTCACCACTCTCTTAACCTCTCTCTTTTTCTCCATATACTCTTCCCTCCTTGCATCACTTCTGCTTTGTAAAAACTTCTCATATGCTAACTTTTTCTCCCTTACTACTCTCTTTACATCATCATTCCACCAATCGCTCCTCTTCCCTCCCGCACCCACTTTCCTGTAATCACAAACTTCTGCTGAACACTCTAACACTACATTTTTAAACCTACCCCATACCTCTTCGACCCCATTGCCTATGCTCTCATTAGCCCATCTATCCTCCAATAGCTGTTTATATCTTACCCTAACTGCCTCCTCTTTTACTTTATAAACCTTAACCTCTCAATTCCCTGATGCTTCTATTCTCCTTGTATCCCATCTACCTTTTACTCTCAGTGTAGCTACAACTAAAAAGTGATCTGATATATCTGTGGCCCCTCTATAAACATGTACATCCTGAAGTCTACTCAACAGTCTTTTATCTACCAATACATAATCCAACAAACTACTGTCATTTTGCCCTACATCATATCTTGTATACTTATTTATCCTCTTTTTCTTAAAATATTTATTACCTATAACTAAACCCCTTTCTATACAAAGTTCAATCAAAGGGCTCCCATTATCATTTACACCTGGCACCCCAAACTTACCTACCACACCCTCTCTAAAAATTTCTCCTACTTTAGCATTCAGGTCCCCTACCACAATCTCTCACTTGGTTCAAAGGTTCCTATACATTCACATAACACTGCCCAAAATCTCTCTCTCTCCTCTACATTCCTCTCTTCTCCAGGTGCATACACGCTTATTATGACCCACTTTTCGCATCCAACCTTTACTTTAATCCACATAATCCTTGAATTTACACATTCATATTCTCTTTTCTCCTTCCATAACTGATCATTCAACATTACTGCTACCCCTTCCTTAGCTCTAACTCTCTCAGATACTCCAGATTTAATCCCATTTATTTCCCCCCACCGAAACTCCCCTACCCCCTTCAGCTTTGTTTCACTTAGGGCCAGGACATCCAACTTCTTTTCATTCATAACATCAGCAATCATCTGTTTTTTGTCATCTGCACTACATCCATGCACTCTTTTTTAGTAAATGTTTACAGGAGAAGGGGTTACTAGCCCATTGCTCCCGGCATTTTAGTCACCTCATACGACACACATGGCTTACAGAGGAAAGATTCTTTTCCACTTCCCCCTTGTGGGTTTAGCACTTAGTTATGATTCTTCTTTCTTTCAACGCACTGGCCATATCCCACTGAGGTGGGGTGGCCCAAAAGGAAAAATGAAAGAGTAGTAGGTAAATTTGGGGTCCCAGGGGTAAATGTAAATGGGGAGCCTTTAATTGAGCTATGTGTAGAAAGAAATTTGGTAACAAGTAATACATATTTTATGAAAAAGAGGATAAATAAATATACAAGGTATGATGTAGCACGTAATGAAAGTAGTTTGTTAGATTATGTATTGGTGGATAAAAGGTTGATGGGTAGGCTCCAGGATGTACATGTTTATAGAGGGGCAACTGATATATCGGATCATTATTTAGTTGTAGCTACAGTTAGAGTAAGAGGCAGATGGGAAAAGAGGAAGGTGGCAACAACAAGTAAGAGGGAGGTGAAAGTGTAATAAACTAAGGGAGGAGGAAGTTCGGGAGAGATATAAGCGACTATTGGCAGAAAGGTGGGCTAGTGCAAAGATGAGTAGTGGGGGTTGAAGAGGGTTGGAATAGTTTTAAAAATGCAGTATTAGAATGTGGGGCAGAAGTTTGTGGTTATAGGAGGGTGGGGGCAGGAGGAAAGAGGAGTGATTGGTGGAATGATGAAGTAAAGGGTGTGATAAAAGAGAAAAAGGTACCTTATGAGAGGTTTTTACAAAGCAGAAGTGTTATAAGAAAGCAGAGTATATGGAGAGTAAAAGAAAGGTGAAGAGAGTGGTGAGAGAGTGCAAAAGGAGAGCAGATGATAGAGTGGGAGAGGCACTGTCAAGAAATTTTAATGAAAATAAGAAAAAATTTTTGGAGTGAGTTAAACAATTAAGAAAGCCTAGGGAAAGTATGGATTTGTCAGCTAAAAACAGAGTAGGGAGCTAGTAGATGGGGAGAGGGAGGTATTAGGTAGATGGCGAGAAATTTTGAGGAACTTTTAAATGTTGAGGAAGAAAGGGAGGCGGTAATTTCATGCAGTGGCCAGGGAGTATACCATCTTTAGGAGTGAAGAAGAGCAGAATGTAGTGTGGTGGAGGTAATGAGGCATTACGTAGAATGAAAAGGGGGTAAAGCAGCTGGAACTGATGGGATCATGACAGAAATGTTAAAAGCAGGGGTGGATATAGTGTTGGAGTGGTTGGTACTTTTGCTTAATAAATGTATGAAAGAGGGGAAGGTACCTAGGGATTGGTGGAAGAGCATGTATAGTCCCTTTATATAAAGGGAAAGGGGACAAAAGAGATTGTAAAAATTATAGAGGAATAAGTTTATTGATTATACCAGGAAAAGTGTATGGTAGGGTTATAATTGAAAGAATTAGAGGTAAGACAGAATGTAGGATTGCAGATGAGCAGGGAGGCTTCAGAGTGGGTAGGGGATGTGTAGATCAAGTGTTTACATTTAAGCATATATGTGAACAGTATTTATATAAAGGTAGGGAAGTTTTTATTGCATTTATGGATTTAGAAAAGGCATATGATAGAGTGGATAGAGGAGCAATGTGGCAGATGTTGCAAGTATATGGAATAGGTGGTAAGTTACTAAATGCTGTAAAGAGCTTTTATGAGGATAGTGAGGCTCAGGTTAGGGTGTGTAGAAGAGAGGGAGATTACTTCCCGGTAAAAGTAGGTCTTAGACAGGGATGTGTAATGTCACCATGGTTGTTTAATATATTTATAGATGGGGTTGTAAAAGAAGTAAATGCTAGGGTGTTCGGAGAGGGGTGGGGTTAAATTATGGGGAATCAAATTCAAAATGGGAATTGACACAGTTACTTTTTGCTGATGATACTGTGCTTATGGAGATTCTAAAGAAAAATTGCAAAGGTTAGTGGATGATTTGGGAATGTGTGTAAAGGGAGAAAGTTGAAAGTGAACATAGAAAAGAGTAAGGTGATGAGGGGTCAAATGATTTAGATAAAGAAAAATTGGATATCAAATTGGGGAGGAGGAGTATGGAAGAAGTGAATGTTTTCAGATACTTGGAGTTGACGTGTCGGCGGATGGATTTATAAGGGTGAGGTTTAAACATAGAATTGATGAGGAAAAAAAGGTGAGTGGTGCGTTGAGGTATATGTGGAGTCAAAAAACGTTATCTATGGAGGCAAGAAGGGAATGTATGAAAGTATAGTAGTACCAACACTCTTATATGGGTGTGAAGCTTGGGTGGGAAATGCAGTAGCGAGGAGACGGTTGGAGGCAGTGGAGATGTCCTGTTTAAGGGCAATGTGTGGTGTAAATATTATGCAGAAAATTCGGAGTGTGGAAATTAGGAGGTTTTGGAGTTAATAAAAGTATTAGTCAGAGGGCAGAAGAGGGTTGTTGAGGTGGTTTTGGTCATTTAGAGAGAATGGATCAAAGTAGAATGACATGGAAAGCATATAAATCTATAGGGAAGGAAGGCGGGTAGGGGGCGTCCTCGAAAGGGTTGGAGAGAGGGGGTAAAGGAGGTTTTGTGGGCAAGGGGCTTGGACTTCCAGCAAGCGTGCGTGAGCGTGTTAGATAGGAGTGAATGGAGACGAATGGTACTTGGGACCTGACGATCTGTTGGAGTGTGAGCAGGGTAATATTTAGTGAAGGGATTCAGGGAAACCGGTTATTTTCATATAGTCGGACTTGAGTCCTGGAAATGGGAAGTACAATGCCTGCACTTTAAAGGAGGGGTTTGGGATATTGGCAGTTTGGAGGGATATGTTGTGTATCTTTATGCATACATGTATATGCTTCTAAACTGTTGTATTCTGAGCACCTTTGCAAAAGCAGTGATAATGTGTGAGTGTGGTGAAAGTGTTGAATAATGATGAAAGTATTTTCTTTTTTGGGGATTTTCTTTCTTTTTTGGGTCACCCTGCCTCGGTGGGAGGTGGCCGACTTGTTGAAAAAAAAAAAAATATACAGAAGAAGGCTCCCAGCATGTTAGTCACCTCTTACGACACACGTGACTTAAAGAGGAAGAATTCTGTTCCATTTCTCCATGGAGGTAAAAGGAAATAAACAAGAATAAGTAAGAAAATAGAAGAAAACCCAGATGGGTGTGTATACATATGCTTGTACATGTATGTGTGTAAGTAGAAGTAGTAAGAAGTACTTGAAATCTTGCATGTTTATGAAACAGAAAAGAGATACCACAATCATACCATCATGTAAAACATTATACAGTATTACATTATTGCATCTTTACGTATGTTTACATTTCTCTCTACTGCAAATAAAACATATATGATATGTTAACTGTTTGTGTGCACAAGTTTTGATAAAATAAACTAGTATCTACATCTATTTTATGCATTTATGACATACCTAACATTTTCTTAATTTTTTCGGTCACAAATTTTCAAAAAAATTTTCAAATATATTTACTGAAAAAATTTGCATGTAACTAGACCCATGCAGTTCAAACCTGTGTTTTTAAAGGGTGCTGTTCGGGGAGTGTGCTGTTTGGCACTAGACTGAGTGATCATCTGTACAACTGCTTTTTGTTGAGTTATTATTGGTGATTTCATGTAGTGGATCCCAAGGCACAAATAGCATAGCTGAGACAGGGACAGATTAGAGAGCAGCATAATGTAAGTAGTGCTGTTTGAGGTACATAGCAACATATCTTAGAGAGGATGCCAACTGATCTGGATCCTGTTTATGTTATGTGCTTTCCTGCAGATGAATGTAAGTAGGTGAATGAAGAAGGAATGAATGTACCATACTCACTCACTCAGCTACTAAATGACAATTATATTTCTCTCTTCCCTATCAATAAGTTGACAATAACTAATCATTTTACTGAGTAATTTCCACTAAGAAATTTCCTAAACCTAATGCTCATGATTCATTTTGAAAGATGGCCACTCATACTTGAAAAAAGCTTACTGAAAAATACTTACTCTATTAATTTCTTGCTTCCTAGTATTTTCTGACAAGTCTTGACGTGACTGGACCTCCTGCAGAAGCATCAACATCTGTGTCTTGACTGCTGCACTAGCTACTCCAACAGCCCGAGCCACTCCCTCCCAAGCATCTGCAGCTTCACGCACAGGTTGTGAAGCACCCTGACCGGCACTACCATAGGAATCCACGAACCCAGACTCAGAGGAGACTTGTGCCAGACACTGTGAGAGTCGGCAAGCAGTTCCACACACAGTGTTAAGAGACTGAAAACAAAATTACACACATTACCACATAGGCAGTATACAGTATAAGATTCTCATCTGTAGATAATAAACAACAAAAATCATTTACATTATCAATTTAACTATGGAAACAGTATTTTCCTAAGACTAAACAACCATATCCTTAAGTGTATGATAAACAGTAATAAACTTTCATACTGTTGGAGCATGACAGAGCTGACAAGGGTTAAAAGGTGTGAATAGAAAAAAACTACTGGTGCCATTTTTAACAAAACTCTTATTTACTGTATGGTCTATTATTCCTCCTAATTTAGCCCCACATATTTTTCGTGTGTACCATAAAATTAAAATTTATCAGTAACATACAACCAAATTATTGAATTACTTTAGAATCAAGAGTTCATCTATTTTTTTTTTTTTTATTAACCCATCGGCCGATTCCCACCAAAGCAGGGTGGCCCCCCCAAAAAAAAAACTTCATTATTCACTCCATCACTGTCTTGCCAGAGGGGTGCTTTACACTACAGTTATAAGACTGCAACAGTAACACCCCTCCTTCAGAGTGCACTGTACTTTCCATCTCCAGGACTCAAGTCCAGCCTGCCGGTTTCCCTGAATCCCTTCATAAATGTTACTTTGCTCACATTAAAACAGCACGTCAAGTATTAAAAACCATTTGTCTCCATTCACTCCTATCAAATACGCTCATGCACGCTTGCTGGAAGTCCAAGCCCCTCGCACACAAAACCTCCTTTACCCCCTCCCTCTAACCGTTCCTCGGCCAACCCCTACCCCGCCTTCCCTCCACTACAGATTTATACACTCTCGAAGTCATTGGGTTTCGTTCCATTCTCTCTACATGTCCGAGCCACCTCAGGAAATCCCTCCTCAGCCCTCTGGATAATAGTTTCGGTAATCCCGCACCTCCTCCTAATTTCCAAACTACAAATTCTCTGCGTTATATTCACACCACACATTGTCCTCAGACATGACATCTCCACTGCCTCCAGCCTTCTCCTCATTGCAACATTCACCACCCATGCTTCACAGCCATATAAGAGCATTGGTAAAACTATATTCTCATACATTTCCCTCTTTGCTTCCCCAGACAAAGTTCTGTCTCACAGACTCCTAAGTGCACCACTCACCCTTTTCCCTTTACCAGTTCTACGATTCACTTCATCCCTCATAGACCCATCTGCTGACACGTCCACTCCTAAATATCTGAATACATTTGCCTCCTCCATACTCTCTCCCTCCAATCTGACATCCAATCTTTCATCACCTAATCTTTTTGTTATCCTCATCACCTTACTCTTTCCTATATTCACTTTCAATTTTCTTCTTTTACATACCCTACCAAATTCATCCACCAACCTCTGCAACTTCTCTTCAGAATCTCCCAAGAGCACAGTGTCATCAGCAAAGAGCAACTGTGTCAACTCCCACTTTGTGTTAGATTCTTTATCTTTTAACCCCACACCTCTTGCCAAGACCCTCGCATTCACTTCTCTTACAACCCCATCTATAAATATATTGAACAACCACGGTGACATCACACATCCTTGTCTAAGGCCTACTTTTACTTGGAAATAATCTCCCTCTCTCCTACATACTCTAACCTGAGCCTCACTAACTTCGTAAAAACTCTTCACTGCTTTCAGTAGCCTACCTCCTATTCCATACACCTGCAACTTCTGCCACGTTGCCCCCCTATCCACCCTGTCATACGCCTTTTCCAAATCCATAAATGCCACAAAAACCTCCTTACCCTTATCTAAATACTGTTCACCTATATGTTTCACTGTAAACATTTGGTCTACACACCCCCTACCTTTCCCATAGCCTCCCTGTTCATCTGCTATCCTACTCTCCATCATACTCTTAATTCTTTCAATGACGACTCTACCATACACTTTACCAAATACAAATATTTATTTCCTTGTAAAGCTTACAATGTGTGGTTTACATGTTATAAGATTTAAATTACAAAGATGTTCACTATCATGCCTAGGCACTTCAGGCAGACTAATACATTTCTTAAGCTATTTTGATATAGGTCATATTTGAGCAGTACATTTGAACATATTATTAGGTACTTAATTAGGAACATTCTCAGTTAGGTACATACATAATTAGGTTTAAAACAGTTAGGTAGTCAAATCATTTAATATTAGTACAAATGGCAGATTTAGTAATGGGAATCGATATGTCTTGGCATGATACAGTGTGTCTATTAAAGCCGTACTGGAGGAGTATCTTAGACAAACTTAGGATTAACTTAAGATTTAATAAGACTAACCTAAGATTTAATAGGCAATAGCTACATTAGGAATTGGATGTTTACAGTCATTTGGGTGGGTGTAGGTGGAAATTATGAGGAAATTACAGATAACAATAAGTCTATATTGTTTTGGATATGTTCATGATACAAAAGAGAGAACTGGGTGGTTTTTATTTGGTTAGCTGATGATGGGGTGTGTAAAGGTAGAAAGTTGAAAGTGAACATAGAAAAGAGTAAGGTGATGAGGGTATCAAATGATTTACATAAAGAAAAATTGGATATCAAATTGGGGAGAGAGAAGTATGGAAGAAGTGAATGTTTTCAGATACTTGGGAGTTGACGTGTCAGTGGATGGATTTATGAAGGATGAGGTTAATCATAGAATTGATGAGGGAAAAAAGGTGAGTGGTGCATCGAGGTATATGTGGAGTCAAAAAACGTTATCTATGGAGGCAAAGAAGGGAATGTATGAAAGTATAGTAGTACCAACACTCTTATATGGGTGTGAAGTTTGGGTGGTAAATGCAGCAGCGAGGAGATGGTTGGAGGCAGTGGAGATGTCCTGTCTAAGGGCAATGTGTGGTGTAAATATTATGCAGAAAATTCGGAGTGTGGAAATTAGGAAAAGGTGTGGAGTTAATAAAAGTATTAGTCAGAGGGCAGAAGAGGGGTTGTTGAGGTAGTTTGGTCATTTAGAGAGAATGGATCGAAGTAGAATGACATGGAAAGCATATAAATCTATAGGGGAAGGAAGGCGAGGTAGGGGTCGTCCTCGAAAGGGTTGGAGAGAGGGGGTAAAGGAGGTTTTGTGGGCGAGGGGCTTGGACTTCCAGCAAGCGTGCGTGAGCATGTTAGATAGGAGTGAATGGAGACGAATGGTACTTGGGACCTGACGATCTGTTGGAGTGTTATCAGGGTAATATTTAGTGAAGGGATTCAGGGAAACTGGTTATTTTCATATAGTCAGACTTGAGTCCTGGAAATGGGAAGTACAATGCCTGCACTTTAAAGGAGGGGTTTGGGATATTGGCAGTTTGGAGGGATATGTTGTGTATCTTTATACGTATATGCTTCTAAACTGTTGTATTCTGAGCACCTCTGCAAAAACAGTGATAATGTGTGAGTGTGGTGAAAGTGTTGAATGATGATGAAAGCATTTTCTTTTTGGGGATTTTCTTTCTTTTTTGGGTCACTCTGCCTCGGTGGGAGACAGCTGACTTGTTGAAAAAAAAAAAAATGATGGGGTGTGTTATGGAGACAAGATATTTTTTAACGGTAGTTTTGAAAATGGTGGTTGAGTCTGCGGTTCTAGAGTTTTCAGGCAGGGAGTTCCAGATTCTAGGCCCTTTCATGTACACCTACCATCCGACTTATGACCAAGCTTGGTTCCGACCAACCGGTCATAAGTCAAAATGGACGTAAGTCGAACCTTTGAAAATTGCCAATATACTGGGTAGGGCATAATATCAAACTTTTCCTATATAAACTACCTACATAGTACTGTAATGTAATGTAATGTACAATCATTATTTCATTCTTTTTACCATAATTTACTTCTATTGTTATATTTTAATTATTTATGTACTGTATATAATGTATACATGGTAGTGAACTGTATTGTAAATTTTACATCACATACAGTATCATATGTTACTGTTATCTTTATGTATTGAGCCTTTCTTGCCACAATCTCTAGTGCAAGATTCAGACTTCATCTTAGGGGCCATGGTGAAATTTACTGTCCAGTTAGTACAGTATGATGCAGCTGATAGGGCAGGGTTACTCAAACTGATGCTGCCTGCATGACGCATTGCCGCCGTGAGTATTGTCAAATATTGTACAGCGGTGTGCATCAGCCGGCCCAGCCCAGCTGCCAGATGCACGGTCCTAAGTCGAGTGGACGTATGTCGAGCAGGTCGTAAGTCGGATGGTAGGTGTACATCAAATTTTTGTATAGGTTTAGCCAAACACGGGGAATGTCATAGAGATTTTTGTGTCTGGTGTCATGTCTATGGGTCCTGTTGCAACTATGAGGAAACTGTTTTTGTTCTGGGTTAAGATTAGAGTTTATGGTTCTATAAATGTAGATTGCACAATAGTAGGTGTGAATGTTCTGTACGGTGAGTAGGTTTAGGTCTTTGAAGAGTGGGGGTGTGTGCTGTCTTGCACTGGATTGCGCGATAATTCTCACTGCGGCTTTCTGTTGGGTTATTCTCGGCTTTAGGCGAGTTGCTGCTGTTGATCCCCAAGCACAAATAGCATAGGTGAGGTAGGGATAGATGAGTGAATAGTATAGTGTGAGCAGGGCTGATTGTGGTATGTAGTAATGTATCTCAGAGAGGATCCCAACTGTTTTGGATACTTTTTTTGTTATTTGTTGGATATGGGTGTTGAATTTCAGACTGCTGTCAAGGTGCAGGCCCAGGAATTTGCCCTCATTATGTCTAGCAATAGGAGTGTTGTCAATCGTTATGTTCAGCTGAGTAACACCCATTCTGTTCCCAAACAGAATGTAGAAGGTTTTGTCAGTATTAAGTGTAAGTTTATTAGCAGTCATCCAGGTCGATATTTTTACTAGTTCTTCATTAACAATAGTGCTAAGTGAGGCAAGATTAGGGTGGGAGATGACAGATGTTGTATTGTCAGCAAAAAGAATAGGCTTAAGGTGTTGTGAAACAGTAGGTAAATCACTGATGTATAAGAGGATGAGCAAGGGACCAAGGACACTTCCCTGTGG